TGTGATACGTAATATTAAGTTTTTGCTCTATACAGGGTGTTCTACCCAAGGCGGTTTCATTCAGAACTCTGTTATTAAACATTTAATAAAAAAATGTTTTTATTTTATAAAAGTGCTTTAGTGTCATATGGTGCATATACAAAAAGTAATTTGAGTCGTACATTTCGTATGGACGCTACCTAACTTCCACATTTTAAAAGGAATACCCCATATATTTTTACATTTTCAGTTTCTTTGTTTAAATTTAGGTTGACTTTATTAACAGTTTCCTATACCTATCTGTAGTAATTTTTGAGATATTCAAGTGTTTTTGAAAAAAAAAAAAACGATTTCAGCTCTTTGAATGAGACCAAATAGCATCTAAACCATAAAAGCTAAAAGTAAGTCCTACAGGGTGTTAAGTCTTCGCAATATTTGTTAATTTAGAACAGTTTTCAGAGAAGTAATAGATATTTTTAGACAGATGTGGTTAAAAAATATAAATTATTTTCTCATGCGACATAAGAAAACGTATAATTTATATGTTCGGTGATTGAATTACCTTATCTATATTTTTTAGCAAGTTGAAGTTGATGCAATTTCTGCTGAAAAAAGTTGAGAAAGTTTTGAAACAAATATCTAGTTGATTTTAAAACTGTCACTTTTAGTTTAACATATATGTGATACATTTTAAAAAGTCGTTAAACAGTATAAGTAACTATAATGATAAGATCCTGGATTATATACCCATTAATTTCAAAATGTGTGGATTTTTCAAATTTGTTTTCACCTCAAGGTATATTCGTTAAGTAATTGTGCGCTTATAGCATTTGAAGTGATAGACACAAATTTTAAGTGGAATACTTTTCATATAGAATAAGATAATTAATTAATGAATTGGTCCTAAGATGTACAATATTTATTTATCTTAATTTTCTTTTATACTTATGTCTAATGTTTACTTAATATATACTATGCACCATATAATTTAAACTGGTAATTGCTTGTTCTTAATATAGGAACAATTTTTATTAGTGGATTCGACAAAAAAAAAGACATTTCATATCTTTTTCATGAGTGTCTATATCTCACTTCGATATGTTCACTTTTTGCCACTGTTAAGCATAAAAAATTTTTTTTTCAGGTTTTAGATTTCTATAGGTACTATGTAGTACAGTCATTGACTTTATGAGCATTTGTAGTGTAAATAATTGATAAGTTTATATTATGACAGTGCTACTTGAACGTGAAATTTATCAATTATCTATACAATAGGCAAGTTTTTATTGTTTTAACATACATATGCAAGTGCGTGTGTATTTTACCTTGAAAGGACAACATTAACATTCAACGTACCTACCTCTAGAACTTTTGTTTGTTTTCACACGCAATAAGTGCGCTTCTCCTATAACTTAAAACATTTGTTCTTTTTTAACAATATTTTTCTTATTGTTTTTATAGTATGAGAATCCTAATAGAATTATTCGAGTTTCGCACGGTTATCCATATAAGGGAACGTCCCCATAATACGTGATTCATTTTTTACAAGTTTTTACCTCTCTCCCCCTTCAGTAACCCCCCTTAATATATGCCAAGACCCCTCTTCCTTCTAGTTTTCATGCAGTAATTCACAAATAATTTAACCAATAGTTTAAAAAGCGCTAAATATTGCCCGTCATATTTGAATATAGCTAGAGGATAATGATTACATGACGAAAATCTAGGTCTCCCTTGTCCCTATGACCAAACGTGGTATTCTTCAAGACTTACTCCCCCCCAGGGTCACGTAGTATGGGTACGTTCCCTAACATACAATTTGTTGTAAATAGATTTATTAATTTCGTCAAAAATTTAGAGAAAAATATACCCTTTAATATTTTTACAGGATGAAGTTCCTAGCAATGGATTAATTTTATGGAAGGGAATAACAACGATGTTGCAAAATCTGACAGAAGAAATCCTCAAGCGTCCTGAGACGAATGCTTTCCTTAACGACAGTTCTCTTAATTTCGACGTAGTATTAGCAGAATTTGTACCTCCCGCTTTTTTCTACTTAAGTGAAAAGTTCAAATGTCCCCTGATACAGATGACCTCCATGCCTGCTCATATTATAACGTTAAACAACATCGGTAATCCGAATCACCTTTTGGAAACTGTAGATGGAAATCTGCCGTTCGGAAGAAAGTTGAATGTCTTTGAAAAAGTCGTAAACGCTGTTTATACATTCTTATTTAATGCTCAAGTGCAGGGAATATTGTATCCGCTACAAGCGGAATTAGTGAAGAAATATTTGTCTCACGGAGAAGACGTGGATCTCGCGGCACTAGAGAAAGACAAGACGAGTCTCGTTATTTCTAATGTAGTCCCAGGAATAACGGAAGTCCATGCAAAGGTACCAGCGTTAATTGAAGTTAATGGGTTACATTTAACGCCTCCGAAACCTTTGCCTGAAGTAAGTGGAATAATTTGCCGATAATTTATATAAATGTTAAAGAAGCAATTACATTTCGAAAAAATGGTGAATGCGCCTACCAAATAATTGTACCTTAAGAAGTTTGATGTTTGACGATCAAGAACAATTAACAGTACTTTTAGTTTGGCGTTAAAGCACAATTTTTAAACACTGATACATTTGAAATTATTAATCGAGAATTCGTATCTATTGTAACGACAAAGTTAATAGGTATAATCACTTACATTTCTTCAAGGATCATATTTGTAAATGGGCCAGGTACATCTGTAACAGAATATTAGTATTAGTAAACATTAGAGACTATTTGCGTTAACATAATTATTATACTACGGCAAGTTAGTTTTGTTCTAATTTAATCTATACGACACGTACCCAAACGTTATAAGCGTTCGAAATGTAGATAGAGAAGATTAGAAATGGAGAAGTAGTAGATAAAGAATAGGAGAACAGAGGGTAACTATGGAAGTCAATAAGAAATAGGCGAGATAGGTTGGTAGGACGCCTTCTCAGGCAGGAAGGGCTTACATAGAGACATAATAGAAATAGAAATAGGAGTTAAGAGAAGCAGTGGTAGACCTAGATTAGATTTCTTTCGCAAATACTCAAGGATGTGGGTAATTATATCAGTTTTAAGGAAATGGGAAGATTAGCTCAGGATAGGAATGAGTGGAAGTGCGTGTCCAACCAATTTTAGGACTGATGACCTTGTGATGATAGATAATTATTGGTGTTGTTTCTAGGATATAAAAGAATTTTTGGACAAAGCTTCTGGTGGAGCAATTTACTTCAG